TGCTTAACGCTCAGGGTGATATGAAGCAATGGTGAGGTAGCCTAGACAGTTTTAGGTGCTTCTCATGCCTTCTCGCTTGCAGTTGCCACCAGTGGCTAGCCTAGTGCAAAAAGGAAGAAGCTGAGTCTCCCCTGCCAGCTCATAGCCACTTCATCATCAAGACTTCTGCAGTGCCTCCTCGTGGCCACCCATGGAAACTATGTACCTTGCGGTCCTAGGCTGAACTGTGGAGGCTCTTGGAGCAGCAGGAGGCCCTAAAGGTGTGGAGTCATGGCCCGCCGGCGAACACGCCCTGGCTTAGTACTAACTCTTGGCCCTTTACTCCCTGGGCTTAATGAGTGACTGTGGGGAGGTGGGCTTTGCCAGTCTGCCTCCCCGAGAGAACCCAACTGGCAGTGAAACATATAGAAGATGGTGCTAGGGGGAAGGCAATCATCCCTCCTACCCAGCAAATACAACAGACTGTGGGTTCCGTTGGGAATCGGTCTGGGAACTAGGATTACCCGTCCGTCTGTGTCCCGGTGGCCGCCAACTTGGCGTGAGGCTTGTGGCGCAAAGCCAGCTAGCCCTTGCTATATGGGGCAACGTTGGTGGGGGAGGAGGGCAGAGGTGGCATCCACCCAAAGGCTATACCTCAGGTGGGCTGTCAGGGTGGGGGTTTGGAAAGTCTGTTGCCACTCTTGTCAAGGGAGGTGAAACGGCCGAGAATTCAGGCGGCTGCACTCTCGGAGGTGAGAAGACCTGGTAGCAGTATGATCAGTGTGGGTGATTACACCTATTACTGTTCGGGCCGCAGCAGTGGTCACCATCTCCTGGGAGTAGCCATAGCCATCTCCAGCAGACTTCAGTCCAAGGTCGCAGAAGTCACTCCAGTCGATGAGCATATAATAGTATTGAGCTGAAGCTTATGTTTGGCTTCATGTCTCATATTGCTGTGTATGCTCCTACTAATGTTTGTAAACTTGACGTGAAAGAGATTTTTTTACACTAAACTTGTATCTGTGACAGACAGCTGTAACAGGCAAGATATCTGCATTGTTCTGGGTGACTTTACAGCAGTATCTAGCTGTGATCGAGCTGGCTATGAGACGTCTGTCGGTCCTCATGGCTTGGGAGCTATTGCTAGCAGCAAGAATAGCTTCCTTTACCAGGGCTTTGGAAGGTCCCAGATATTGAGGATTTCTGGCTCTTGATACCAGCACTGTGACCCACATTGTTGGACTTGATACAGTGATACGGGTAATTGTGAATAATTAGATTCTTATTCATTGGACTGGTCTTGGGTTGGATCGAAACACAATTCATCATTTATATTTTTACATTCATAAATATACAGTATTTCACAATTATTACACTTCCCTTTTACCACTTCCACCACAAATATAATTTCATTTTTGATTTCCCGTTCAAAGTAAGCTTCCATTTTCCTGCTTTGTTGACTTTTCGGTCACACTAGACAGGGCAGGATATAAAGGGGGAAAAAATGGAAGCGCCTCTCCTGTCCGGCCCTTGACAGCAGTAGGTCCCTTTATGGAAATAAACACCCAAACAAATTAACGTTTACGTTATTCACGTAATTCTAAATAATTAATAAATAATATACCCATGTATAAATCCAAAATTAAAGTCAGACTTCTCCGACAATCCCAATAAAATAACTCGACTTTACCCTGTATGGATGTCCAAGAGCAACTAAACAATATAGAGAATTCGTGCTTAGTGGCCACCTTGGCCATGTCACAGACGGCCACATCACGAACCTTTTCCTCGCCACTGAACAAAACCGAACCTCCGAATACCCACAACCATATATTGTCCGAACAACCAGTAGCTCGCTCATTTGGCACACAACTTGCTAAAATCCTTCATTAGCAATCTTAAATACAATGTTATTCCTCCACAGTAATGTAGCCAGGGATATCGACCCATCCTCATTAACACTCATTGGAGGATCCTCCAGAACTGCAGGGTATATCAGAGTGCCGAGTTCTGTGGTACAGATAATAGATTAGCTGTGGCTATGCTCTGCATCCACTTCAAAGCTCCACGTCATTCCATTGATCACCCTAGAGTTTCATGTGGACAGACTGAGGGAAGGGGAGTGATCCCAAGGATTTGCTGATAATTTCAAGCTTGAAAAGCTCAGTGCAGCTCAAGAATTGATTGGTAAACACTCAAGAGCAACACAGAATTTCATCTTGCAGGAGACACTGGAGTCACAGATGCTTGTTGCATGGCTTATCCAATTAGAGATTGTGACATGCATTGTTCCCAAGGTGCACAGGACTAGGTTAGTACTGAGAAGGGACAAGGAACTGTTTATCAGGAACCTTGCTGAGATCAAAGGCCATTTCTTAGTAAATGACCTCTGTCCTACCTACCAGGCCCTGAGAAAACTGAACTCCAAGTCCGCCTCAAAGGCAACTGCAGTCCGCTCAGTAAGTGGCCAGATGGTCTCAAATCCTGTTGGGATGTGGGAGCATTAGGTTGAGTATTTTGAGCAGTTGTACCAGATAGATCCAACAACAATTAATTTAGATGCGGGTAGTGTCAAGATTCCAAGCTAAAGAGTGGTAAAGCAGTGGGTATCAACAAGAGTATCTGGAGATTTCAGCACCTGTGCAGAAGGACCAAACTACCTGTCTTCAAGGCCCTGATACTGAGTCTTATATACATTAGTGAAACCTGGTTGCTATCTTGTGCCTTGGAATCTCGTCTCGTCACTAGATCATGGGGTACAGTTGGCAGGACCACATGTCCAACCAACAGTTACACTGTGAGACTATTACAGGACCTGTTACTTGCACAATACGTGATCACCAACTTAGGCTGTACGGGAACCTGGTTTGTTTCCCATAGGATGATCCTGCCCACCAGGTTATCTCTAATCAAGACAACCCAGGAAGAAAGTCTGTAGAACAACCTAGGAAGTCGTGGCTTAGGCAGATTTTTCATCTTTGGTATTTGGTGTTATCTCTAATAATGCCAGTTGTCATCTTACCTTTCATGTTTCTTCTATTATAACATTAGAACTTTATTTTTATTTTTAATGATTATTCATTCTCACCTTCCTTTGTAATCGTTTCAGATCTAATGAACATGATTAAATTAGTAATAATTTAGATTTTTTTAGTTATAACTGGTCCTCAGCAGTATGTGATTAAAACTGATTTCTTTCCTTCGTCATTCTCATCAATCATGCCTCATTATCTTTCCTCTTTAACAGAAGAGGGTGATAACAGAGAACAGAGACAGAGTGAGTGAAAGAAACGTTGTCTAATAAAGTTAGCTGTGGTGATTACCCTCTCCTTCCTGAAAGGGTAATCACATTTAAAGTACATGATGTCATGAGCCTAAGCACATTTAAGGCAGTCCAGTTTTCGTTTGTACATTTCCTGTCCGTCATGGTCACTCAATTAACGTCCATTACGTCTTGGTCCCGTACGGTCGCGCTCTTGAGAATTTCACTTTCTTCCGCCGTCCTCAAATCCGTAAAAGATTACTTACCAACAGGTATTTGGGGTATCTGGGTTTGTCATTAATAGGGGTTGCATTGTCGAGTTGATCGCAGAGCGGCCATAGGTAGTCCTTCCTCTTTGAGGAGGAGAGGTAGACTGAGGATCAATCATCCTGGGTTTCGGACCAGGACCGAACTCTTGACCCGAGGCCGTTGGCCTGAAGGGCTAGAAATCCGCCGCAGCGTCAACATCCCTCCAGATCTCTCTTGCCCAACCACCACCGAGAACCAGTTCATGGTTCCCACCAGAGCTGCCACTATTTTTTTTGTTTGCATTAACATTGGAAACCTTGGCTAGTAACGGAATGGCTCCGCCTGCTAGGGTTGACCTCTTCTTCACCCCCGGGGACGCCTGCTGGGGCTGCTTCTTCGTTGGCGTGAGGGCGGGAGCGCAGCTGGATGCTGAATCCCCCCCCCCTCCCATCATCCAGTCGGTACTGGGCCGGCTGTTACCTGCTGATCTGACCAGGCGTTTTGTGGAGGACGAGATGCTCGCCAGCGTCGAGGTGGCAGTGGGGGCTGCTGCCATGGACTCCACAGCCAGCACCGCTGTTATAAGCTGTGCCTCGTTGGATCAGCAGAGAAAACCACTTGTAATCAATCATTCATTCGTCTTCTTTAGGGTGACCTGCACACTCACACACACAAACACTTACGAAAACACATCCCGCAACACAAAATGAAGCATTGATCAAATGATACCCGAAGAATAAGATGACGTATAAAAAAGGGTTATCCTTTAAAAATACTCAAAGAACGTCAATAAATTTTCAATTCTTGTGCATTCCTCGAGGGCACTTTCACTTTACATATAGCATTTCACGACCTACAATCACTCCTTCACTGGTGTTCAGTTCTCCATCATGTTCAGAAACACCTTTTCCAACCTGTGACAAAATACCCTCTTTTGTGAACCGATACTTTACTGTTTCTTTTAAAAATACTAGCAGGCGTGAATGTATTTTAAAACAATTCGAAATCTACAGTTTAAACAAAACTGATTTAACACAAAATATTTTCATGTACAGTCAGCGTAGTCCAGCCACAAACAAATATGAAATAATATGTATACATACATATCTATAAGGTGAGTACTTTTTAACATGAATGACACTTGATGAATTTGTACAATAACGGATCTACAGTCCTTCGTTGTTTAATCCTTTGGCATTTAACGTTATCTTGCTTACTTTTATGAAATACTTCTTATGACCTAAAACTATCACAGTCACTTCCTTCTATATTCCTTCTATATATATATATTTGGCATTTTACGTTATCTTGATTACTTTTCCTTTTATGAAATACTTCTAATGACTTAAAACTATCACAGTCACTTCCTGCTATATACGTATTGTTAAGGATAATTTGCAAGACAAAACAAAACATCTGTATCCGGAATCACGAACGAATCACGAGTGTCCGTTTCGCTCTGGTCGATGTAGGGTTCGAAGCTGCAATTCGGTACTCCGGTTTTCATTTCCTAGAAGTCGTAGGAATCTTGCGAATTTTTCCTTTGGCGACTTTGTGGGATTTCATTCGTTTCGGGAAGATCGCAGTCTTTGGTTTCCGGCAGTAAAGCAGCTAGGCCGGCAGCCATCAGAGCTAAGGATCCGAAGATGGCGGACGGGACCCATACAGTTACAACACCCTGTTAAAGATATTTATTTTTCGTGTGTATTCAATGTGGATTTATAGTTTATTAAGTTCATGAATATCGTTATCATAACCAATACTATTTATATTATATTTTTTTTCTTCTTTTGTTTATCATCATCGCCATTATCATCAATTTTATTACTGTCGTTACTATCGCTATCATCATTATCATCGCTGCTATCATGATCATCTTCATCAACATTATTACTACCACCATCATTATCATTATTAGCTCTATTACTATCATATATGTATATTGCTATTATTATAAGCTGTTAGCATTTTGTAACGATGATGACGACGACGACGACGACGACGACGATGATGATGATGGCGGCGATGGTGATGGCGACGATGATGATGATAATCATGATCATGATAATAATAAAACAAAGAAATAACCGCACCAAAATATCATTGATGTACGGCGAAGAAGTGCTCCCGATACTAGCACAGACGTTGGCTTGTCCCACGGCGAGGGAGCGGTAACTCGTTGGGAAAAGTTCGGCGGTAAAGATGTATGCCAGATGGAAGCCTGCTGTTATGGCGAGCTTTCCACACAGTGCCAGGAAGATCATCAAAGTACCAGTTTCTGAAGGATAAAAAAAGGGAGCGGAAAGTAATGAGTTTAATATATATTTTTGTTTTTTTTTTTGTTTTGAGTATATGGTTGATTCTAGAAGCAAAAAAAAAAATGATGGTAAAAAACGATACAGCAACTACAGTCGGAACAATAAAGAAAGAAAAAAAGAAAATAAGATAAAAAAAAATAAATAATTAAAAGCCAGCGTCTTGAAAATAAGCCAACACACCATGGACACCATAAACAAAGTCACCTTGCTTAAAAAAAAAAAAAAAAAAAAAAAAAAAATACACATCCTAACGAGAGAAAAGACATCATACCTCCAGGAGTCACAATCAGGACAGTCATAACAGCGAAGATGGAGACAGCGCACACGAGATAAAGCCCCACAAGCGACCTCTTCCTCCCGAGATAGATGATAGCCGGCCACAGCAACGCGTAGGAAAGAATCTCAAGCAGACCGCCTAAGAACATGTATATGTAAGGGTCGGTGCTGGAATAAGACGGGGAGATTTTAGTATTGCTCTTTCATTAACAATTATTAGGTGGGAGTTATTGTTTAAGTCCATCTTAATGGAAAGGGTTGAAAAGTGTGTATATAAAAGGAAGAGAAACAAATATCCTTTGATGTTGTCTTTAGTGAAGTATAAAATGATGGTGGCGTTATGATTATCATGTATCATATAGGCAATTGATGGGTTAGTATCTTTTTTTTTTTTTTTTTTTTTTTTTTTACACACACACACACACACACACACACACGCATACTATCAATGCGAATGAAGTCGAGTACACAAGCAAAACAACAGAAAAAAACACCGCACCTCAAATTCGTGGCGTTGAGAGCGACGCCGTAGTAGATGAGCGAACGCGCGAACCAGCAGAAGAAGACGACCGCCGCCCTTCCCCTGAGGCCCGCGGTGGTCACGAGGGCAAAGAACTCCTTCACGGCGGCCAGGACTCGGGCGGCGAGGTCCTCCATAGCCTCTTGGTCCGCTTTTGGCTTCTCCTTGTCGCCCTGTCACGTCCCGGGGGAGGAGATGTGGAGGGCAGGGGGCGTAAGGAATAAATTTAGGGGCGATTTATTCAGCTAATTATTTTCTCATTTTCATTTCACGTCCTGTTCTTTCACCTTTTCTTTCCTTCTCTTTCTGTCTCTGTCTGTCTGTCTTTGTCTCTGTCTTTGTCTCTTTCTCTCTCTATCTCTCTCATTCCATACCTCTTTCTCTCTTTCCATCTCTCTCTCATTCCATCCCTATCCCATTCCATCCTTCTCTTTCCATTTCTCTTTACCTCCCACTCCCTCCAGCTCTCCCTCTCCTTCTTTCCCTCTCTCCTTCCCTCCCTCCCTCCTCCTTTCCTTCTATTCCCTCCTTATCTCCTAAGTCTAATTCCAAGAAAGCCAGGAAACCCACCAGCGTTGCTATGTTCTCGATAGCCTGTAGGAGAACTTCGTCAGGTGGCAGTTTTCTTCCGTTGATCCTCGCGAGCCATTTGAACACGCTGAGGGCCTCTTCGTATTTTCCCTTCACCAGGAGCCAACGTGGGGATTCTGGGAGCAGCCTGGAGAGGTGAGAGTCGGAAGAGAAATGATATAAATGATGAGGTGATAAGTGAAAGGATTATTGTTGCGACGACGGATGGTATGTATGTGATGATGATACTCATTTTTTTTGTCTGATTTTTTTTTATGGGATATATACTAACGTTAAGAATGTCATTACTGTTTTAACACATATTA